CGCTTTGACAACCAGGAGCGTAAGCTCCTTAAAAAATTAGCCCAAACCCTCAACCATTGAGGTGGTTCAGTGTTTTGCAAGGGATTTTCAGCATTTTGGGGCCCCCAAAGCCTCCCGAGCCTCCCAGGGCCTTCCTAAGTACCTCAAGGGCCTCGGTGGCGGGAGGGGGCCTGGGCTCCCACATCTCACAAATCTCTTGCATTGCCAGGACGGCCTTCCTGGCTTGTCGGGGTTTCAAGGCAACGGCTTCAAAGGGGCTCCAGCCTCTAAACCTTTCAGGTTTAGATGCCGCTTTCGTTAGTGCGCGGTGACACATTACCCCTACCACCCTGCAAGCCAAGAGGTCTCATTGACTTCGGCACGCCTCCCTGGGACAGAAATGCAGCATGCTGCTCGCGTTTCACGCCTCACAGCTTGTGTGGTCCACAGTGGTAACTTCAGCAGCAGGCGGCGGCAAACTACCCAGACCTCCCTGCAAAGCCGGGAAGCGTAGATTTCGGCGGCGTGCGGCAGCACGCTCCGCACGGAGCTACAAATTTGGTTTGATCGACACCGCGTGCACGGAGCGAGCGGCGCCAGGCCGCGAGCGACCCACGCCTTGGCAGGCCTCCTGTTCTCGCTTCTTTCAAGATGTTTCATTCAGCGGTGCCTCGAAATCCATATGCTCATGTCTCCGCAAATATACAGAGACAAGTAAGTAAGCCCCCCGTGCTAGGGGGGTTTGGGGGGCAGGAACCCTGAACCCTAATTGAGAATGGTTTGGGGGGTCGGGGCGGGACGATAGAGCCACGCTAGCGCGCGATAATGGGCGCGCCCCCTAACTCTAAAGAAAAGGCGCACACACCGCGCGCACACTGTTACACACCCTAAACCGTAAACCCTAAACCCCCAAACACTGCAGGATGGGACGGTTCAAGTGAGAGCCAGTGGGCGCATCGGTCTCAAAGCCGACTTTGGCTCCAACGACCCACGGCGGAAGTCCCAAAGTGTTCAAGGTTTGGGATTCAGGGTTTAGGGTTTAAGGTTTAGGGTTCATAGTTTAGGCCTCTAGAGGGAAGTCACGGGGGGGCCGGACAAGAACGCAAAAGTGGAGGTGAATACCTAGTGCGAGCGTGGAAAGTGATCAGAGCAGTAGAAGTAGCAGCAACACACCTTGTATCGTACCGTGCCCATTCGATGTCAGTCTTGTTACTGCTGGTGGAAGAATATGCACAAGCTAGATGAATGATTGCAGCATCATTTTAGTTAGTGTTGTTGTTTGGGCTGAGCTGACCAACTAATTGCTCAGATATTTTGTTTCTCCGCATAGACCCGAACAATTTGCTGCGCAGCCACACCAAGTGGTCAGCGTTTGTTTGGCAAACCATGCAGAGTCCGATGCGATCCCCATTGCAAGCATGGATCCGTCGCTCCCATCCAAGGCCAAAAGATTGAATTACATCGCGGAGTAGCTTGGATTACCTTGGAGAGAAACTCAAGTATCGTAGCGATCTCACATGGCATTGGCCTAGCCCCTCGCAACCAAGTATATGTTGGTAGAAACATTCATTACGAGGGGAGGTTTGCTTAACTTATTCTATGATAAGGGGAAGGTTTGATACAGTTGGACCATGCCCGCGCAAATCAGGCAGCTGCGAGCAAAAGGCTGGACGGCTCCCGCGATCACGTGTCTTGACCACAGGGGTGTGTTCCAAACAACTTGTCCTCATTTGGTGGAGCCTCTCACTTCAGAATTTTAATATCTCTTCACTAACCTTGGCGCATATCTGCAGAAGAGCTTTGCTTGTCTTTCAGAGGCAGGTCATATGCTAAGGCTTCTCATTGTAGTTGTAGTCACTGCAGGAAAAGGTCACAAAGCATCATGTCGAAGAAGCAGGTGGAGCAGTAGCAGGTTATTTCGGTCTCAGGTGATCCTCTGCATTGCCACTAATTATGGTACGCCGGAATGGGGCTGTTAGAAGAGCTTTGCCGCTCATCTCAAGGAAAGACACCCATGCCTACTATTTCTCAATGAACTCCGGCAAGACGAAGGCTTCGGGGTATGTGCAAGAAGCCTGCAGGTTGTCCATCAAGTGCCGCCTATGAAGTACAGGTTCCTTTTGCTTGACGTGGTTGAGGAGACATGGTAGTGCTTGCTGCTGGTGAGGCGTAACTTTATGGGATGCACTGCAGAGTGTCCAACCTTGTACCTGTGGCTTTGTCCGTAGCCCACATGAGACTGTTCACTGGGCACGATGCACAGAGTGTCTTCCTGATCATTCTTGATGTTGGTTGCTTGGCTTTGCTTCGCCTTTGACAAATGCTATTACTGTAGTTGTGGAAACATGTCGGGCAGAGTCCTACCACAAGAAGGGCACCTTTTTCACTCCCACATGACAAGCCGACGGCTGATCAGCAGCTGCCTACCAAAGCACTTTGTTTTCAAGGTCGGGGGTCCACTGAACGTTGTTCTGGAACGTGCTGTGGGTTCTTTTGTTTCGGGCTTGTAGAATCCTATTCACTTACATTCAACCCAGCCAGGAGAAGGCAAGCAACCAAAAGCCAGAAACATGAGTCAGGTCAGCTTCTGTCAGAAAGTCCACAAGCAAAGCTTCCAAACACAGAATGGACTGAATCCAAAAAGGTTTGAAATAGCAAGGTGAGTTCAAACATCAGTTTTAACATCAAACATTGTCCATTGCCACCCAGCAGTTTTATCTATGACATTGCGTATGTGGAAGATTCATCTCCCCCAATGTACCACCACAGACCTTTGATCACCCCTGAATCTTCTCCAGTAACATGAAACTCCCACCCGCCCTCCCCGGCCGCAATATTACGCATTTATGCCACAATGGAATATTCTATGTAGTGCGGGGGGGAGGGGGATTCATGCTCGGGATAGGATTAGTTGGTATTGGGCAGGTGGCCTGCGTCGGCATCGATTGCCCAGTCAACTATGACTCTTGCCTACATGAGTGCGGCTTGTTTCCCCCGCAATTGAGGTTGTCCATGCTGTCGTGCCTGCATGCTTCACGCTCAGGAACTTATCGAGGAGGACAGCTTTGGGGAATTGCTATTCCTGGGAGGTTGCTAAGCTTTCTTTGCGCCACTCCTTCAGATGCTCCAAAGCGCTTCTACCCAGTCCATGTGGCCCCTGTCAGGAGCCTGGGCCTGGCGAAAGCGAGTGAGCAGATCTGTTAGATATGTAGATGTAAAGACCCATCACTTAGATCAGCCAAAGCTCAGCCAAATTTGCAAAAGAGCTGGAGCCGCACTGATGGCAAGTCCCCAGATACCTTTCTGTGAATGCTCGCAACGCCGAGGCTGGCTGGGATCCTCTCCACCATTGGCAACGTTACCAAGATGGTGCTGGCTCAAATCTTAGCTTTGCCAACAAGACCGTGGCTGTCAAAGGTATCAAAGGTAGTTGGAAATCCCATGGACATGGGGTTACTAACGGCGGCTAGACCAAACAAAGCAGGTCGTGTATGCTTTTGTTTCTTAGCTATGCCTGCCAGATGATAGGTGGTATCGTGCAGCCCCTCGCGTATACCTACCGTGGTAAACTACAATGTTTTGCTTGCAGTATGCGCACCCAGTCATGGGGCCTACATGACGGATCGTCCTGCTCTAGAGGACCCCAACTAGATACAGTCTCAACATACGTACGGACTTCCATAAATGGTGGTCCCCCAATCTAGACCCTAATATGCTATAATAAATCCTGAGTATAAAGACTGCCAGATGAGTTGTATTTTATTTGGGGATACTATGGTACTCAGTATAGAGTAAGATTATATCCTCCTTTTGAGGTATAGTATTTTATATAAGGGATATAATCTTACTAGGTTCAACCACCAAAAAAACACTACTCAGATAGTCTGAGGTAATCAGGCCTCCTAGCTTTCAAGCGCTTGAGGTACAGCGGAGTCCCAAGGCACAGGCTGGATCTGGTAGTGAGTCCACTTTGAAGCGCATTGATAAATCGTCTGAACTCCTTAAGGAGGGTCATATATAGGGGAGCATTATAGGGGTTATTAAGGGAGATGTTAGGAGTTCAGACTATAGCTCATTGGACCGGACCTAAGAACTACTTATAACTGGGCGGATGACCCTGCTTAGAATCCCTAGCTGGAGTTATATGGGTTGCCCTGAGCACAAGTACGGCTATGATTCAGCTGTAAGTGCTTGATAAGTACAATGAACTTGCTAAGCATGATAGGAGGTATCAATTAGGAGGACCCCCCACCCTCTAATAGTGGTATAATACGAATATAAGAGGACCCTAATATGATCCCTAGTATCCCTTATAGTCACTATTACTGGGTGGGGGGTCCACCTAAGGTATCAAGCGTTGAGGCTTACTTTGGGTTCTCTCTTTGAGCGTCCTGGGGTGGTTGTGGCTATCAGGGGCCCTGCGTTCATCAAGTCGCATGTTAGCGATTCTCAATATTTGGCAGTCGTCCGCGTGATAAATGGAAGTCAGGCTGAGCTTCAAAGGGGGTTATAGGGGTTATATAGGGATTATGAAAAAGAGAATGGAAACTACTATATTATGATAGGGTATATATTGGGGTTTTATAGAGATAATGGAAAAGAGAGTGGAAACTACTATATTACAGTAGGGTATATATTGGGGTTATAGGAAAGAATGGCAGAGAGAGTGGAAACTACGATTTAGGCTCGGGGGATCCCACTGCCTTGATAAATAAACACGGAAGCCACAATTTCAAGGCATGCCCATCATCAAATTCAGGTGCCTACCTGACAGCCCATGCAAATGATACATGATTCTCCGCCTAGCGGTTGGTGTCTAACCTGGCTATCGAAACTGATACATCTGACAGCACATTCCTGGCGTAGTGTAATACCTGCAACCAGATGATCACTGTTCTTGGTTGACTCCTCACGGACGGCGTTGCGTGTAAAGCTCAGGGAATCACGTGCCCGCTGCTTGCGAAAGAGAGTGGCTTTGAGGGAAGGACACAAGTCATGCTGTCACATGGAGACTTCTCATGGTGCATTGTCCAGCACCCACTTGCCTGGTGCTCTTACTTCAGGTAAGACAGTTGCCTACAACTCCTCTGTGTAGTGCTACCAGGCCTACAGCCCTTACTGCAAGCAGTTCTGCTGTACCACTGTCGCCATCCTCAGAAGGGTACATGTTTCTGCATGCCGGCGGGATGGCGCCCTTCCTTTCAGACGGGGCTCCCGCGAGCTGGACTTCCGTAAGCTCAGCCACTGGGGCCGCTTTAGGGTTTGAATATCATCCCAAAGATTGGAGAATCAGATGAAAAATGAAATGGAAGCTGGGATTAATTGTCAAGTGCTGCAGGAAGTAGTTGGGTTTGCTATCATTTGTATGTTGTTGAAGCAGAAGAAGTCGGTGAGTAGCGGCGGCAGCGGTGCTGGTACGGCAGCCACTGCGGCTGCTGCTGGTGATGCTGCTGCTGCTGCTGCTGCTGCTGCTGCTGCTGCTGGTGCCGCTGGTGTCGGTGCTGGTGGTTGTGTGGCAGCGGCGGTGGTGGCCCAGCGGCGGTGGTGGCCCTCTCACTGTAGAAGACAAACTGTTGAGGCCATTCCCGTCTGCAAGAGAAGGGCTGTAATGTGGGGCTTATTATCCCCAATAATGGAGAATGAAGTGGAAAACAAAATCGGGCATAAAAGGGAAGATGGGATTGTATAGTGCTTTTTAATTCAACGTGGGAAGGAGGCGAGAGTTGCTTCGTACCTTACATGGGCATGTGCCAAACACCAAAGTTTGGGGATCCATGAATCATCTTTCAGTCGCGCTTATTTAATGGGGAAGCCCAAGCAATCTTTACTCCTTACTGTTCAGATCCCAGACCTCCTAGGGTACCTTGGCCACCACATTGCCAGAACCCCCCAATGTGGAAATTTCTCAAAGTCAGGGGTTCCCATGATAAAAGGATATCATAGTATTTTTGGGTGGCTTTATAGGGGTTATCCCTGTTTAACCCTAAACCCTAAACTGCCATCTGAGCTACAGTCTAAACTCCTAGTATCCCCTCTTAGTAACCCATATAGGAGTCCCCTACCCTAATCCCCTATATAATCCCCCTTTAAAGAGTTTAGACTATGGCCCATCTGTGCTAAGGTGTTCCATGTCTAGCTCTTGCCTCGGTGAGGAGGAGAGCAGGATTAGCATCTTGGCAAGATGAGATGCCTGGGGTTCGGGTTGTTGGGTATAGGGTAGGAGGACTCCCCACCCTTTAATAGTGACTACAAAAGATACTAGTAACTATATTAGGGTCCTCCTATATTCCTATTATACCACTATTACAGGGTGGGGGGTCCACCTAAGGTATAGGGTAATATAGGCTTATGTAGGAATGATATGGAAAATACTAGTTAGGGTTTAGGGTTTAGGGCTGTTGTTGGAGTATGTGGGTTATTCTCCAAATTATGGGCCCATGGTGGTTGTAGATTATGTTACAGCACCTCTTCTTTAGCGGTACCAAAGCGGGACCCTGATTTTGAGAACTACCCATGTGATACAGGAGCTGTGAATTGGGGGCTATAAAGCGGGGAGTCACAAAATTTGAGGCAACATGGTTTGGCTGCACTTGCGTGCCTAGCCCAAAGAGGTCAGGTGGTCTCTCTTTCTTGAAAGCTTCCTTAAACGCGGAGTAACCTTGGTTATCTACCAGCCTCAGTGGCATGCTTGCCGACATGTTCCAGAACCTGCCGTTTGCTGAAAGATAGATTCAAGTGAACCCAAAGCTTCAAGGCAGAAGGCTCAGCGTTTGTCTAAGTTGCTGAGTTGGTTTAGCTATGGTACACAGGTTCTGTCATGTTTTTCATGGTAAGCGACTGGGAGGACCAGACTGTCGCCGCATTTTTTTTTTTAAGCGGGGGGCTCCACAGTGATAAAGAGTAGCCCCCAGCAACTGAGTGGGTCTTCATAGCACTGCGAAAGGGAAGTTTCACACGGTGGCATCCTTTAACTGTTGGTCTAGCAGGAAAGGAAGGGGTCTATGTCTTGCATAGCAATAAGACCCCCACATATCATATACCCCGTACTCTAGGTGTATTCTATTCCATCCCCATGCACCATATACCCCATATTCTATGCATGTTAAGGGGGATTCTGGTCTTAATTGCCACACATTCTTGCTGCTGGAGCTGCATCTAGCTCAGGCGTTGCCGTCCGCTGCCGACCGTTTCTGGCCTTTGGTTCTCTTATTGGTTCTTAGAAGGGAATAAGCGAATCTCCCTATATAATACCTGTAGAAGATATTCCTTTTTTTCCTTCGAGCCTTTGTGGGATAATGTGGGTAGTCCCGTTTTCAAGTTCAGCTTCATGAGGGCCATTACGTTGCTCTGCTAGAGGACTTTTGAATACAAACCTGGGCACATGAAGGGTAGCAACGCAGCCCAAAGATGCCACCTCACCCCACCCACCCCCCGCCCCCCTGCCGCCCCACCCTTTTAGACAGCTTTGAGCATGAAGAGTCTGTTGCTGAGCTTAGTCTTCTCATTCCAGCTGCACAATTTGCGGAGCTACGATCAGAATTCCACTGGCGGGTTACTCTGGTCAGAGTCTTTTGGAATAATATATATATATATATAGTTGGTTCAGATTTTTTGAGGCATCTCCAATTTACTGCCAACTCAGCTAGATAAGGAGGATTGCAGCTTCTGGTGCTTAGCCCAACTCCTCGCAAGGTTATCCGATTCGGAGCGCAGCCATGAGGTCTTTGACATCTGCAGAGTCTGGGCCTGAAGTGCAATCTTCGAGCGACGCTCTTTATGCTTGAAGAAGGCAGCGCTGGTTACTATCATTTTTTTACTGTGACTATTATTACTACTATTATACCTATCATTACTAGTATTCGTAAGGTTCCAGGGGCCCATTAGGTTTTACATGTGACTCGCACGTTGTCATGAATGGGCTCCACGCACATTTTCATGGCTTAGGTCATGGACCGCCGCCTGGTCATCCTGTTGGACCCGGGGGCTGTGACTGGGCTCATTATATATGGGGTAATATTGGGATAATGGAAAAGAAAATGGAAACGACTATAGTATGATAGGGTTATTGTATTGTTTTTTTGGCTCAGGTCATGTTAGCTACTGAACCGGTCAATTTTGAGCTGCTGAGCCTTGTTAGGCATTGGGGGCTCCTGGCTTTGGGTTCTGGACTGGAGAGATCTAAACTGTAGATGAGGGAATCCTGCCTGGACCTGCTTAAGGATAGCCTCATTTGTTCCCGTCAACACGCCAGAAAAGCGACTGAACTAAGACTACCGCAAGTTCCAAGAAGGACGATAGCCCAAACTTCGGCCATGCAGTAGTTAAGGCGTCGAACGATTACCTCAGGCAGGACAAGTCCAAGGAGGGACATTTGGAATGCCTAGTTTTGGCAAAGTTCTGGCTTGCATGAGGGCGAATCGACTAGCAGCACCTCAGATTCCTCACTGGTCCCTTTGCAGGAGAAGCGCTTCGCATTCGACCAGGCCTTCGGCGCAGACACGGATAATGGTGTCCTCTTCGCCGCTACTGCTGAGCCACTGATAGGTGCGCTTGCACGACTGGCTTTCAGTGCTTAGCAAGACATCCGAGCATTTCACAAGTTGTTGTTTCCTGGCAAATGTGGTCCACATGTTTGGTGCATGTCGCTGACCCCTGCAGATAGCGTTCTCGCCGGTCTCTCGACGAAGCAAATGGTAAGGTTTTGTCATATCGCCGATCCGCATTGAACAGACACCAAAGCCAGGACAGCTTCTGGGTATAGTCCCCCTTAAGTAGATAGAATATGGCTTTGGGTACATTATAATAAGATTCCCATATAGCCCATTATTCTATCTACTTAAGGGGGACTATAGGTAAGTAGCACCAACTCCTGGGCTTTCAAGGCCTCAACTGCAGCGTTTTTGCATACGGCTCAACGGGTGCTGGCAAAACGTTCACGATGCATCTTGGGCTGAATTGCTGGTGTCAAGCGCTTGTAATAACTAGTACTGGTAGGTTTAGGGTTTAGGGTTTAGGGTTATTATTGATAGTGGAATGTGAAAATACAAGGAGTAGGGTATCATAAAACCTGTTAACGACAGGAAGGGACACGGATGATGTTTCAATCATAATCAAACCTACCCCAGAGGTCTTCGTTGTCTGAGCAAGAAGATGGGTTCCATGGAGCAACTAAGAAGATACTTTAGGATCACCCCCCACCCTATAATAGTGACTATAAGGGCCAAGGGATAGTAGTAACAATATTCGGGTCCTCTTATATTCCTATTATACCACTATTACAGGGTGGGGGGTCCTCCTAAAAGATACTGACCTAGCAGAGTCTCCACAGAATCGTGGCAACGGACAGCATTCCAAGTCGTGTGCACACACAGGGGAAGCCTAACCCTGCCGTCTCCAAACATGTGTCAGGAACCCCTACCTCAATATTTAAATGCTTGGGTTCAAATGCTTCCTAGTCCCCCTTAATGTGGCTTGCACTATGTAGGGTGGTGTTCTTTAGATGTCTTCATTGTTCCGCATAAAAGGTGCCCGTGATCTAGACAAGTATCGATGAGATGTAGCTTCCATACAGTGACGTCCTGAAGGCAAATCCCACAAGGCAACCCTGGGCATCAATAGAACTCGATGTTTAAGGAGTATTCAAGCATGGGTTTGACAACAAGAAGACCCGCCAATTGATAGATCCACATTGGGAGCGCTGATGTTAGAGGCCCTAAACCCCTAAACCCTAAACCCTAAGGAAGGATGGGCCTAAATCCCTGACATCGTAGCAAGACCGGGAGTGGCTTGATCCATTTTAGCGTGCACAAGCTGAGGATTGGCACTCCAAGCGAACCAGGCGTCATGTTCCGGACAGTTGAGGGCCTTTTTGCCAGAACCACACAGGACCAGGGTCCAGGGTTAGGGCATTCTGCTCATGTAGATTTGTTGATTTTCTGGGGCTTGGGATACCATGTCTACCCAGAATTCGTGTTGTGTGGCTGGAGAATCCGGCCTGAGCAGGACCAGGGAGTTTCGGTTGCCTGCCGCTTGTCTGCACGGATGCACGTTTTGACTTTCCATGTCCTTGCCTTTCGAGAATGATGAGGGAGGAGCATGATACACTGTCAATTTCCACTGCTGTGTGCTTGAGTAGCTTTGAAGTTGCAACACAACGACATGAAACGAGATGACAAATTCGACTTCCAGCCACCAGAGGAATGGACAGTAAATGCGGGTGTCCAAAGATTGCCAGGTCTCACAGTCTCACCCAAGTCGCAGAGAAAGCAACAGCGGCAGTAACAACGACATTGCACTTAGCCTCGAATTGTAGACAAGACTTGCAATGTTCACTTAAGAATAAGCAGCCCCTCCCCTCGGAGCATGTGGGCCCTATTATGCAAGGTCATGCTCACAGCTTTTTATGTCCTGGAGTCTTGCTATGAGGTCCACGCTAAGTATGAGTCACCAGTCACCCTCAACGCTCAGATCCTGTTAGCCATAGTTAACCCAGACAGCCTCAAAGTGCTTTTGCAGTTCACTCGGGTTAAAAAGGGGTGCGAAGCCACGGCCATGACCTGGGCAATACCAAACTTGAACTACACGACACACAGCAAACATGGTCACATGGTGACCGGAGCTGCTCAAACCGGCTGGGTGGCAGTTGCGGAAGTCAGTCGGATACTCTTCGTCCGTGCTGCTGTAATGTCATGTCATTATAACATGCTTCTCTCATCTTGCCGCCTCCTCTTTGGCTTTGCTTCCTTCAGCATCCCAAGCCTCATAAGGCTTGTTGCACAACAGTCAAAGCCCGTGCTACACACGGACCGAAGTCCTTGACCTTAAAAGCAAGTCCCAGAAGGGAGACACCGGGTAACTCTGTGTCTTAGCCCTGCAGGCTGCTTCGTGGAGGTTTACAATGAAGTGCTTCGCGATCTGGGTGCCCGTGATGGTCGCGATGGAATGCTGGACTTGCGAGAAGATCCCATCACAGGTCCGCCTGTGTTTAAGGTCAGTGTTCGGGGGCTTTGGCCAGAATAGTATACCTCTAACCTACCCTATCATAATATGGTAGTTTCCATTTTCTTTTCCACTATCCCAATATAACCAATATAACCCCTATAGATCAAAGGGTCAGTTGTGACTCGGGGCTAAGGGCACAAGTAGTCTTTGGTGTCTTTGTTTCAGAGACTCTGCACAAAGGTCCATACCAAGTCTGGGCCAAAAGTCACTTTTGAATAGATAGAACACGGGATATATGGCTATGAGGATCTTATGATAATGTACCCGAAGCCATATTCGATCTACCTAACGGGGACTATACACCCTAAACCCTAAATAGTAGTGTCCATTTTCTTTTCCACTATCCCTATACAATCCCAATATATAAGCCTAATGTCTTAAGGAGGATTATAGGCCCAACCAAACAGTTTCCGTGTTTTTCGGATGGCTGGCAGGGCTCCGGGCTTAGGAGCCTCAAGTTTCCCCCTTGGCCCTTTGAATGGACTATGGGTTATATAGGGTCATATTGGGTTATGTTGGGTTTAGGATTTAGGGTCAGATGCAGAGATGAAATTTGGAACAGGCCATTTCTGAAAAAGTCGTCCAAGTGTGCGTGGTTTATGTATTTTTTGAGGGACCCAGAGAGCCCAACATAGCTTAATTACGGAATATTCCTCAAAATAACATTAGGACTAGGACCCTTAATATGATTTGAGGTATATTCCTCAATTATGCTATATTAGACTGATTGCTTCCAGACGTGCCAGCCAGGACCTTCTCTTTCTGGCGTGACTGAGATCCAGGCGAATACGGCTTCTGCCGTTCATGGCTCTGAGATGTTTTGCATAACGAATCTTAAAGAAAGAGGAGATCCTAGTCCTGTGCGCCTGGCTGCAGCTGCAAAATCTAAGGCGTCATGCTATAAAGGGAGGTTTGTGGGTTCTAGGTGTTCTTCGTCTGGATTTCTCCGGGTTTTCCGGGATCCCGGAATCATGCGTGTCATGGCCGTGTCCGCGAACCCCATGCTAAGACATCCAGGATCATCCAGGATTGGAGATGAATTCCGACTTATGGGACTGCCTTAAGGGAGGCAAACAGCCAGCTTTCCTGTAGTTCATTGAAATTGACATGTTTTTCTCGTTTGGCCGAATGACCTGGATTGTGGTGATCAGTTTTTCTCAGCGGGGATTCCCAATACACATGTTTTGTCATCCGTCAAGGCGGCCTGGATTCTGACGATCATGTTCATCGTTTGGCAATCTTCTGGGTTGCTGTTAAGGAGCTTAGTTTAAGTTACTACATTGAGGAAAACATGTTAAGTACCGTATATAGATATATACACCCGTCATGGTAACTTAATTTAGGGTCCTTAACAGCAACCCAGTCTTTGGCAGAAGTACGGTTCAAGCTTGGGCTGCATGAGCCTATTCATTTGAAGGTGATGCCAACACTGCTCAGCAAATCTGGTACTTATAGCATGATAGCAGCCTGAAGCCTAGATGATCCATCCAGAGATCTGACAAAAGAGGGCTGGTCACCCAGTTCTGAAAGGCAAGAACTCTCATACTCTTCCATCTTTGGGGAAACAAAAAGGAGTTCTGGGGCTATGAAACAGAGTCATTATGCATTTTGCATCATTGCTGTTCCGTGCACATTGAGGATTTGTTTCCACGTGGTCTCACTCTTGTAAGATCTCCGGGTAGCCTCGAGAATTTCCCGGCCCATGGTCAATTCTGGTAAGGTTCTCTGGCAGTCAAAGATTTGCTTCCCAAAGATTTGCTTCCCAAAGATTTATGATCCGTTGGGGTCGCCGTGTCCTGGCAGGCGCAGTCCGTCCAACAGGTGATGGAGCTCTTGCAGCAGGGAAACCTGCGAAGAACAACAGAGCCGACAGCTGAAGCCTCAGACCCAAGATGATTTTGGAGTTTCCAAAAATTAGGTGTCCTTTTTGGGGCTCCTGTTTATATGAAAGGGTTATACTGTTTGCGATCTATGTTCCCTATTCAGGGAAACTACAATCTGTTTCCGCTCCTGCAAAATCATCCATCATGCCATAGGCCAGGGGGGGCAAGCGAAGGTGCAGGATATGTTGACATGCAGAACCTCTTAGTCACAGAAAGGAGCTAGTCGGGCCCTTTTCCCACTGACCTAAGCTCGAGCTCACAAAAAGCCTGCCGGGCCATGTTTCTGCATACTCGTTGGCTTGCCGGCCTTGATAGAAAACCCTATGAATCATTGTCCTGATCCAGAAGTCCTCATTGTGCTCGGCAAGTGGTAAAAGCCTACAGCACATCTGAGGCCATGAACGTCACCTCCTCACGGTCGCATGCGGTCTTCCAGGTTCGCGTGGAGCGCCGAGACCCCAAGAATCCAGAAGTTGGGACAGTTGGAAAACTGTCCATGATTGACTTGGCGGGTTCAGAACGGGCTTCCCAAACGCACAATAGTGGCCTGCGGCTGCTGGAGGGAGCCAACATCAATCGGTCCCTGCTGGCACTGGGCAACTGCATCAATGCTTTGGCATCGGGCTCCGGCTTCGTCCCTTTCCGAGACTCGAAGCTGACAAGGCTGCTGAAGGATTCTTTAGGTGGGAACTGTCGGACGATGATGATTGCCAACATCTCGCCGAGCCACCTCTGCTACGAGGATACGCTGAATACCCTGAAGTATGCAAATCGGGCCAAGAACATTCGCGTCAGTACCTCGCAGAATCTGATTCAGCCAGATGACCACGTCAGAGACCTGATCGCAATGGCTTTTGAACTATTGCACGCAAGCCTATTCATTCAAACCATTTTTCGGTGCAGATTGCAGCAGCCCAGGACAATATGAGCACGCCATTTCTGACCTTCGCCAAGAGGTCCAATCTTCTTGCCTTTGACAGGAATTCCTAGGGGAACTGAAGAACAGAACTCGCAGGCAGTAATTAGGGAATTGCCGCATATTTGAGATTTGCCTTTTAGATCCCTCGTTGAAACCGTGATAAAATGCAGCATGCGATTGTAGGGACTAAGGGAGCATAGTCCCTTTAGAATTCCTATCGAACATTTGTTCCCTAATAGCCCCCAGTAAGTCTAGGTTCCGCAGATGCCAGTGAGATCTCTTGGCCAGCTTGATAGTCCTACTGGTGCTTAAGGGGCAGTGGGGGGGTGAACATAGGACTGATAGGAGTATATATGAGGGTTGGAAAGGGATTATAGGGATCCACTTCCCCACTCTCCCTGATGCACCAGTAAGATCTCTGTATAACCCTATATTAACCCTATAGAATCCTTTAACCCCTTATCTTGTCAGGCGGCACTCCTGAAAGCTAAGCTAGTGCAGCGGGCGGCTTCGCAGCAGCTCCAGGATGTGGAGGTGCCATGTGGGCTTTCGGTTTGGCCTGGTATTCATTCTCAGCCAGCTGCCACAGAACACTATTAAAATAACAATAATGATGAACATAGTAGTAAGAATGATACTGTAGTAATAGTAATAATAATGATACTAGGAGAGTCATGGGCCCTGCAGCCAGGCATGGCCTTCGTTGAGTCCTTACTCATTACCCCTTTTTCATGCGAGCAAACGTTTATTGCAACTTTCAACGGCTGAATTCCTGACCCATGCGCTCTAGCACAGAGAGCGCGGAAGGTAACATTTATATTATTATGCGCTGAGAGTTTGAGTCTGGCAGGCAGAAACTGGAGGGGAGACGGAGTTGAAGGAGGCCAGTGAGAACTGGAAGTTGGAGATCATCAAGAATCTGGAGCCCTGGATTTTCAATCTGTTCTCAGAAGGCCGCTTCTAAGGTCATTTACGCTTTGCTGTCGGCAGCCAGCATTATCGAAATGCCTGTATAACTGCAAAAGAAGTCACTTCAGGACGGACTGCGGAAAGCTTCGTCAGTTTTACCAATCATGCTGAATGCCCTAAAAACGCATGTCTGCCAGCATTGCTACGCAGCAAGACCCGCGGTGAGACCATTGTCCCAGACGAGGGTCAGCAGCTTATTTGACTGTGAATGACAAAGGTCAGGATTTCTACGCAACGGCTTCCGCATCACAAGGCATTCTGCGCAAAGCCCACCCCTAAAACCTAAACCCCTATATAATCCATTACCCCCTAAATAACCCCCAATATCCCTTTACATCTAGCCCGAGGCTGCCGCACCGCGCGTTCTTCTTGTGATTCCCATGGCCCTCAGTCTAGAGTTTTCCTCATCTTTGGTGCAAGTTGTTTAGAGCCCTTCGCCTGTCAGGATTTCCCATTCCTTGTTGCTGGAATCCAGCAGGGAAGGTTGGGCATGCTTCTGAACAACCACCATACTCTGAAGCCCTTGACCCTTCAGCTCCAGCTGGCACGGATCTTTCCACCCCACACGGAAAACCGCGATGTCTGTCAAGACGATTGAAAATTACAGCAAAATTATGCAATTTTTCAGAATTCAGCAGAAGGACAGCCAGCCTCATCAAACTCTAAACCCCAAACTCGAAAACCTAAGTCTACGATACAGAACCAAGGAGAGTCGGTCCTCCCTCCAGCGATCTCTGCTGGACGTAGAGAAGGCCGGGTTCTGCAACTTTTCAACCTCAAGGGCACATGAAGGGGGTTTCCAAAATTAGGTGACCCCAATATACACCACAAATTCGTATCTTCCTCAATTATAAGATACCACCAGAACTCGCAACCCCCCATAGACGGTCTGGGGTCAGGCCAGTGACTTATCATCCACGTATCTACGTGCCAGGGCCTGGAAGTGGAGGCTAAAGTGATAGAGCAGCCCCCAAGTAAAAAAGCCCTTACACACACAGCAATGGGTGTGCAATGGCAGGCCCCATGAAGGTCTATACCCTCACTTCATCATGTGTAGCAAACGCCAGAGAGATAGGACCCGCTTCAAGTTCCTCATTCGTGGCACATGGTAGCAAAGCAGCTTTTACAAAAGCGTGCTTGAGGATGTAGATGAGTACAGACGATCTTCATCAGGGGAACAGAGATGAGGAGCGCTGAGGGTCATGTACGTGGAAGTCTCCAGCACAGCCCACTCAAGGAAACAAAGGACAAGGAATCAACGGCAGTGAAAAGAAAAAAGATTAGAATGATTAGAACGAACAATCACAAATTGAGGGGTCTCTTGCCAAAAAAGTGAAAGAGCATATTTACTAACAATAACTGATAATAATTGTAATAGACGTATGGTTCCAAGCCCTGGACCCTTAACCCAAGAAAGTAGGTAGTCGCTCGGCTAAGGCCCTGGTACAGTGGCGGGTGGAGCTCGATCATGCCAAGGAGGTGATCTCCTGCTGGGACGCCGCATGCTGAAGTACATAGGGTTTAGGGTGTGCGCTTAGGCCTGAAGGGTGTATGGAGAATACAAGGGAAAGACAGATGCATCTGGACTGGATGCTCCTCTTTGGGGATTGTATCAGCGATCCATACAGGGTCATGCAGGAGCTGCGTGGTTGCACATGACTTCACAGTTCGGATGTTACACATGCGCTGCGAAATCAGGGACGTGGCATTGCGTTTTTGCCTCTCAAATCTTACTGATGGTGATGGCGGTTGTGCCTCTCTATAGCAACTCCTACTAAAATCCGTATATTGGTCCGTATGTTCACCTTCCTCCGTTCCCCCTAAGCACCAGTAAGAAATCCAATAGCATCCCACCACTTCTCCTAGTTGTCCGTGTCTGTCGGCACTTGCAGCTGAGGATCAGGGGCAGGCAGCTTGGAAAAAAAACAGTAAGAATGCTAGGGCGCGTGAGTTCTTTCCAGAAACCTGCGCCAGTAATTGAAGATCGCGGATGCCGGCTACCGGGCACAGGGAAAGGTAGCAGGTATTCTCTTCAATCAGCGGGAATCACACTGGAGTTAGTTTGGTTTTCAGGCGAGCACGTCTTCTCGACCTCGACTGTCTGCAGAGCCTCAGACCTTGGAGGAATGGAGGGATTTGGTTTCTGAGCTTCGAAAGTGTTGGATTAGCAGGCGAGTGAATTTGCACTGCACGCCGCAGCGCTCTCACCGAGGTTAGTCAGATTGAGGAAAACATGAGCGAAAACGCGGAAACGCGGCGTTCATTGGCGAGAAGACTTCAGCAGAACAAGGAAGCAGGCCCTGCCCGTGTGAGTCATTGGGACGTCTTGTTCGGACCAAGTCATGCTTGCTTGACATCATGTCTGCCACCTCCTCCTCACTGGACAACCCCGAATAGTGGCATGAGGGAGAGACGTGGAAACAAGAACTAGATAGCGACAGTACTAAGACAATGGCCAGATGTCAATGTCAACAACTCGGCTCATCATACCAATTACAGTATTGGCATCCTCCAACAGCTGCAGCGCTGGCAAAAAAAGCAGGAAGCAAGAAAGGATGCAAAGATGAGTCCAAAAACAAGACTGCAAGAAAAAAAGGAAAGAACGGACAAAAGAAAGAAGGAACTAGGGTGATTCTTGCTTGTGGTCCTCCACCTCCTCCCCGCAGCACCAGCACCAGCACCAGC